AGCCATGGTAAGACCCGTTGTCCCTCGGATGTCCTGCAGGTGGTGAATTTACACGGCTGGCAGTGGAGGTGTAAGTCTGTGGCTTGCACAGCTGCAGGGAGAGATTTCAGCCCTACCTCCTAAGTCACGTGGCTGCTGGGGTCCAGCTGTGGTTTTAGTTCTGCCTCTGCCTCTGTGCGTTTGCTCCTGGAGCCCGCCAAGGCAGCGGCTGGTTCGCTGGAGCCTGTCAAGGCAGGAGCCCCCAAGGCGGTGGCTGGGGTGCACTCGCCTGGAGCCTGCCGAGGTGGGGGTTGGCACATGAGAAAGAGGCTGCTATGGCGGCCTCCATCGCCTCCTCATACGCCACTTAACGATGGCGCTTCACTTCTGTGACGGGCCTGGGCTTCTTCCGCAAACATCCCCAGTTGCGACCACTCCACATTCCAGCCCCTTCAGGCTGTTTCCACACAGCCAACAGCAGCCCTCTCCCTGTTCTGTCCTCTAAACCCTGAGTTTCAGCACGCAGCCCCTTCCCCTACCAGCAGATGTGCGTCTCAGGCTTGGATGCACAGGGCGGTGGCACGGCTGTCTGTGCAGGTCTCTGTTTGTTCTGCCTGCCACAGACCGGTTGTTGCACTCTCCTCTGTGCCTCTGAAGCTCCCTTTCTGTCCTGGTTGATCTCCCTGCTAGTGAGGGGGCATCCCACGGTGTGGGAACCTTTCCTTTTTCCAGCTCCCTCCCATGGCCGCAGATCCCGGCCTGCTTTCCCTTTTTTTTTTTCCCCTTTCGTCCTACCTGGTCACATGGAGATTTTTCCTGTCCTTTCAGGTGTCTGAGGTCTTTTGCTGGTGTTCAGTAGGTGTTCTGTGGGAACTGTTCCATTTGTAGGGATATTTTTGGTGTATTTGTGGGAGGATGTGAGTTCCACATCCTTCTACTCTGCTGTCTTGATCGGAGCTCCTATTCCCTTCTTTTAATTCTTTAAGCATGAAATATTGCCATTTGCAGCAATATGTTAGTTACTGGACCTAGAGAATATTAAACTTAGTGAAGTAAGTCAGAGAAAGACAAATACTATATGATATCACTTTTATGTGGAATCTTAAAAATAATACAGAAGAATCTGTATACAAAACAGAAACAGACTTAACAGACATAGAAAACAAACTTATGGTTACCAAAGTGGAGAGGGAAGGGAGGGGGGGACAAATTAGGGGTGTGGGATTAACAGATACAAACTACTATACATAAAATAGATAAGCAAAAAGGAATTACTGTGTAGCACAGGGAACAATATTCAATATCTTGTAATAACCTATAATGAATATAATCTGAAAAAATATAACTGAATCACTTTGCTGTACACCTGAAGCTAACACAATATTGTAAATCAACTGTACTTTAATAAAAAATGCATATATATAAAATGATTCTTTTAAGTTTGAAAAATTAAAAAACAAAAAGTTGATACCAAACAGCTAAAAAAATAACTTTGAAAAACAGGTAGAGTCTGAATCAAATCCATTAAGCCTTTGACGAACACATACGTGCAGTTCTTGGTATGGCCAATATGACAGTTCCCGTTATCTTACCCAATAATAGCTGCTGTCAGTGTTTACTGTGTGCCAGGCACTTTATGTACTGTGATTTAGAATCTTCACACCTCAGTGCTCCATTTTTCTGTTGAAGAAACTTAGGTTGAGAGTGGTTAAGTAACTTGTCCAAAGTTACACAGTGAGGGTAAAAATAAACAGATTTGAACCCAGGAAAGTTCTCACACTCTGCAGTCTATCATGTGGCCTAGGCAGAATGCTGCTAGAACCACTGCCCCAGTAACTTTAGATGCTATCGTGGCAAATATCGTCACCACAAGAGTCTTTGTATGGCAGTGACAAAAGAACCCATTTGTTTTATGAAATACATATTAAGAAGAGGATGCAGAGACTATCTTAGAATTTTTGTTAATTATATTTTTAATCTTTGAAAAGTCCTCCTTTTTACAGATTAGTATGCGTTAAGATTTGGACAAGGGAAAAATTCACTAGCATCTGAGCAGGTTGATTTGTAGCTTGAATGTGTAAATTTATATTTTAAACATTAAAGATTGAAATTATTTTTTTCATTTCTTATCTCAACAGCAAATAGCACTACTTTCCACAAAAATATTTTTAGAAATGTTTATAGTTTTTTAGTGCTGCATCTGTAGTGTTTAAGAACATTGATCTTTTTGACAAGAAACAATATAATATTTTCCAGTTTAGTATAATGGTCAAACTAAGCAAAATGTAAAGCACTTATTACATCAAACTTGAGCATTTAAAAAGTTACTTTAAGAGTAAATACTAATTTTAAAATACTGAGGAGGGCTTCCCTGGTGGCACAGTGGTTGAGAGTCCGCCTGCTGATGCAGGGGACACGGGTTCGTGCCCCGGTCTGGGAAGATCCTACATGCCATGGAGCGGCTGGGCCCATGAGCCATGGCCGCTGAGCCTGCTTGTCCGGAGCCTGTGCTCTGCAACACGAGAGGCCACAACAGTGAGAGACCCGCATACCGCAAAAAAAACTAAAACAAAAAAATACTGAGGAAAAAAAGAAAAAATTAGTCATTTCATCCTAAAATAGCTTTTGTAAATATTTTACTGTATGTCTTTTGGGTCTTATAGAAAGTTTTAAACATAGTTGTAATTGTAGAGTATGTATGTTCTACTTTACACCTAACATCGTAAGGAAGTCATGTTTGTTTGAATGGTTTAATAATTACTTTTACTGTCTGCTTATTAATATACTTAAATTAAAAAAATCTTTATGTAAGGAGTTTTCTGTTTTAGAGAAAATGTTTTGAGTGTGTTGTGGTGGTAGTGTCTAGGGAGGAACAGTAATCTTTTTGGAAAGAGAATCTTTTCTATCCCATGCTCTTGCGGGTCCCATTGTATCAAGAATAACAATAGCCAATGTTTATGGAACATTTATTGTGTTTCTGGCACTGATCTGAGCACTTTCCATGGATTAACTCTAATCTATAGAATCACCTATGAATACGATATTGTTACGACTCTCATTTTGCAGATGAAGAAACAAAGGCACACAGACGTTAGGTAACTAATTCTATCATGTAGCTAAGAAGTAATATTACTGGAATGTGAACTCAGGTAGTCTCGCTCTAGAACCCATGTTTATTGAATACTACATTGTTCTGTCTCAAAATGATTGTCTTGTTTAAATACCTCCTTGAGTGTACTCCAAATATTAGTAAATAGAGTTTTATATTTGTATGTAACAGATTTAAATAATATTCATTTCAAAGGAATAGAAAAAAGAGAAAGTGCGGGCTTCCCTGGTGGCGCAGTGGTTGAGAGTCCGCCTGCCGATGCAGGGGATACGGGTTCGTGCCCCGGTCTGGGAAGATCCCACAAGCCGTGGAGCGGCTGGGCCCGTGAGCCATGGCCGCTGAGCCTGCTCGTCCGGAGCCTGTGCTCCACAATGGGAGAGGCCACAACAGTGAGAGGCCCACATACCGCAGAAAAAAAAAAAAAAAAAAAAAAAAAAAGAGAAAGTGCTGCAGAAAAACACCTCTTTTAGAAGCAAAGAGGAAGAAATCTCTGAAATTTCTTATAAGTGTCAAGTGAACTAACAAAATAGTTAATAGTTAATTCTGTTTTGGGTAGTTTTACTGATAGTAGGTTTAGTGGAGATTGCATTTAAGAAAACTCAAAAAGTATCAGACTTAAAACACTTTGGAGTGGCTATCATTTTTCCAGTTTCTCCTCTGAATCAAGTATGTATGTCAAACTCTGTTTTCAGTTGGCATTTGAGAGCGAGCCTCATGAGTTGATGCCTGAGAGAGCACTTGGAAACGAAGAATTCAGCTGTACATTCAGCTGTAAGCTGCACTATGATGAGATGTGGATGCTTTTATGTAGTAGATAATCTCATCATACAAGCTCATGTTGGATTACCCACTTGGCACAATTGAAAACAACATGCTGTTCCAAGAAAGCCTAAATGTCTTTAGTTAATGATGGGTGATCCTTTTGAGTCTCTTTTCCAAAGTGCTTTAAAAGCACTGAAGTACTCTCAGAGAGGCCATCGTAGCTTGGATAATGTTGAAAGGGAAGAAAAATGCTGTTCTTTGCTGGAAGTGTGGGATTTAATAAATCCTTTGGCTTTGATCTTAATATGTCCTAGAAAGGGGACTTCCCTGGTGGTCCAGTGGCTAAGACTCCATGTTCCCAATGCAGGGGACCTGGGTTCGATCCCTGGTCAGGGAACTAGATCCCACATGCCACAACTAAAGATCCTGCACGCGGCAACGAAGATCCCACATGCTGCAACTAAGACCCAGCGCAGCTAAATAAATAAATGAATATTTTTTAAAAATTAATACATCCTAGAGAAAAAGATAAGCGCACACATGCATGACCTTTGGGGAACTGTTTTTATTTTATTTCATTTTTATTTATTTGTAATAGAATATAATTGATTTTACAATATTATATTAGTTTCAGGTGAACAACATAGCAATTCAATATTTTTATAGATTATACTCCATTTAAAGTTAGTTACCAAATAACGGCTAGATTTTCCTGTGCTGTACAATATATCCTTGTTGCTTATTTATTTTATACATGATAGTTGGTACTTCTTAATCCCCTTCCCCTATCTTGCCCCTCCCCTTTCCCTTTCCCCACTGGTCACCACTAGTTTATTCTCTGTGTCTGTGGGTCTTTGTTACTCATTTGTTTACTTTTTAGATTCCACAAATAAGTAATAATGGAGAACTATTTTTATTAAAACATTATCTTGTGATGTACTCTCTGAATATGCCCTGTCCAGAGTGTGCATAGTGTTCCTTTACAGGGTATTTATCAAATACCAGGCTTATTGAAAAGTTAGAAGTTGAAGTATGTAAGTTTGAGTCAAGAAAAAAAGTCACTGAAGTTTTTTAAAAGTTAAAAATTAAAACATTTGTTTTCAGCCACCCTAACCATGCTGTATTCCTTATGTTTTATGTGTATGTATAGGATTTTTATATTACTGTGGGAACAGGATTGGTGTTTTTGGTGGCATCCATCTTTTTCGCTTTGACACATGACAGTACCCCAGCTGAACTTGCTGCAATTGTAAGTACCTTTTATCTTTGCTTATTTTTATTTGCTTAGAAATATGGAATTTGGAAAGTACTTGACAGGTTATACAATAAGGTAGAGTAGTTTGTCTTTTAACTTATTTTTTAGTGTAATTTGATTAGAGGCCTAAAAGCAAATAAATATGATAGCCTTAAAAACCTAGAACCTGTCTTTAGAATTTGACTGAGTTTTGTTAACAAAAATCCATTGAAGCCACATATGAACTCTATTGCTAATGGAAGTGGTAAAATTGACTTGATTATCTTATATTTTTCCCCTTTTTGGTTCAACAGAAACACACCTACATATCACATGCTGTTTTAGGTGTAGAGAATAGACAGGAGAAATGACCCCAAAGTTCAGCCTAGTATAAGAGATAGATAAGTAAATGTTTTTATCTGAAATCCTTGAGGGACCAAATGTTTTTTAGAATTCAGAATATTCTGCACTTTAGAAAGGTACTACTGTGCATACATATACTGTATTACACACCTTCAGAGGGCCTGGGAAGCACCTTGTAATCCAACATACTAATTTTTCTGAAGCATCTGAATATTCACAGTTAAAGAGATAGGTAAAGACTGTAAAGAGTTTTACCTTGTGTCAATTTTGAGCCAAGTAAATCATGAAACTTCGAGTTTTTGTTGCTTTTTGGACTTCAGAATTGCAAATCAAGGATCATGGACTTAATTGGTGCCAGTGCTGTGAACATGAACAACTAACAACTGGTTAACAAGTCCTCTTACTAGTCAGCTGATTTCCAATTAATGCTTTGTTCATAAGGAAATTGAAGTTGTAATTAATTGAACTGTCAGCTAATAGATCATTAAAACTGCTTTTTATGATAGAACAACTCAAAAGGAGTTCAGAGAATTAGATGGCTATAACATATCTACCTATTTATGTGAACACTGTTTCTTAGTACTTACGCGTGTAAAAACAAAACAATAAAATTAATGCCGAAACTTGATGCATTCTAGCAATAAGTAATATTTAGTCATGGATACATGAACCAGTTGAAGAGAAAAAAAGCCTTATGCTTAATTTGTTTGTAATCATATTTTTGTTGCAGAAGAGTATGATAGGGTGAATCAGTAAAATACTTTCTAGTATAAAAATGTATTACTGTAAAATCCTGTGGAGGAAGTAAAATAAAGTTGAGGAAATGTTGAGTTCATGGGGGGAAAGAAAGCATGTCCTAAAATTACCAGCTATTACAAAAAGCTTATTTATGTGTTTTAATTAGGTGGTATGTCAGAATGTTACAGTATTCATATTTCGTTAGATATATTTAAGAGTGACTGGTGGTTTAAAAGCTCAGTGTTTATAATATGCTGGAAATTACCTTTTGCAACTATTTAAATTATGAAAATTATATAGACTGAAATGGGTGAGGGAGTCCATTTTTTAAAAAATTGTGATGTGAGCAGAAGTGCTAGAAGGTCATTTGGGTTATATGCATAGAGGGTCCTGTATGGACCAGAGCTTTCTAAGGTGGTCAGAGATGTCTTCGTGGACAAGATGACATCTGATCTGCCTTTCAAGTGTCAAATAAATTTGCCAGTCAAGTAAGGGGACAGATGCCATCAAGCCAAAATACAGACTCCAGAGTGGAGAAGGGACTTGGATTTCGAGGGGTGGAATTGATAATTACATTTTGGTTGGATGTGTTGGGGGCATCCAGGTGAATTAATGAATAGGGAGCTCCGTTTGCTTTACAGTGAAATGAGGCAGAATGGAGGGATGGGGTGTGAAGGGCAAGAGACTGCAGCAAACGACAACAAAATGTTAAACTTCATGGAGATGGAGCCTTAGAATTGGGACTTCCGCCGTAACCTACATCGATTTTCTCTTTTTACAGAGCACTTTGGCCCCCTTCCTTAAGGGTTTTTCTAGTGAAGAAGCTAAATTTGCACCATGGGCTTCTGTCTCTTGACAGAATTCTCAGAATGTTTGATTAGATGTTAGAAGAGTATAATGAGGAAGTGATTGAAGAAAGAGGTAGTAGTGGCGTCATGTTGCTGTGTCATATTACAGTGTGACAGTGAGCTGGAAAATATTTTTTAGGTGATTGAACCATTTAACCTAAAAGTATCTTCAAAATAGAATTTCTGTTTTGATACAAATAACCTTTTCCATTTTTACCTAGGCGTGGCTGCCTGCTCTTCTCATCTGTCAGTCTAAACCATTGCTAACAATACAGTGTTTTGTATCATGTTATAGGATTTTGTTTTTCATCTGTTAACCTTAGCTTCATAGATTGGCACCTCACACATACACACACACACACGACAGGACATTAATATTTTGTGACCTTGACTAATGGCCATTATTCTGGAATTCTCTTTTTGTAACTTCTTTCCATTTTTTGATCTTAAAAAATTTTTAACCACTAATGTTAAGAATGATGTGTATAAGATAAATTGATGAATTGTCTTGCTTGTATAAAACACGATCAGAGCCAAGTAGGAAATGTGAGAATATATTTTGCAGCATTCCTCATATAATCTTTGCCCCTTTTCCCTCCTCAGGTGTTTGGATTTCTAGCAAGTTTTGTGTTCCTGTCTGACTTTTTCTTTATGGTCTATGAAAAACGTAAGGAGCCCCGGCCAAGAAAACCTGAGGCTACTGTTAGTGAACCACTTAACGCTTAGGGACTCTAGGGAACAGGTGTTACGTCGCCACTGCGTGGTGCCTGAGCCCTGACAGAAGCTCTTGTAGAGTCTGTCATTATTAAACCACTTCTTTTGGAGCACAAGGCAGAAAGGCAGTTTGATCAGTATTGATTGGACTGTGTGTCAGTCACCACAAATTGGGCCAGAGGGCTTTTTGTTTTAAAATATATATATATATTTTTTGGTAACAGTTGAAACTTGTGTCAGATGAAGTTTTGTTTTGTTTTGTTTTGTTTGGAGGTGAGGGCAATTGTTTGTTTAAATCACATAGCTCAAATGATGATAAATTATTCTGTCATTGTTACTAGGCTTAGCTTTCAAATTATGCTTTATAGCTGTATAAACAGCTATAAGTTTATCCATTTAGAAATGGTTTCATTTTTAAATTAATTTGCTTAACTATAACTTTGCTTTTTGATGACTAGATAAAATTTAATGTATATTTAAGAGATCAATATTTTAAATGTTGGCCTAGGTTTTTTTCCTTAAAATGTAAAACCCAGGCTTTACTGTATCTCACTCAGACTTAAAATTATACTGTAACATTTTAGGATAATAATAATAGACTCTTTCTGAGACCTTTTATAGCCTAATAGAAAATGTATGGGAGATGTTGATATTTTACATGTTACAAAAGCAACAGAATCAGTAACCCTATGTTTATACTGTACTTTGGTTGTCAATGTCATGTAAAAAAAAGATCTTTATATAGAAGGATAGAAAAATGGAAGAAACTGCTATCATGACTAAGGACCAAAGAAAGATAAGATACACTTTTGCACAATGCAGTGAAAGTAGTTATAAAAGTAGGCCTCAACCACTTCCAAATGCCTGAAGAGATGAGTTCATACTAGAAGACAGAAAATGGTTTGCTCCCTTTTGCCATATGATTATTTCTACTGAAGTTAATACAGCTCTGCAGGTTCTGTTCAGTGTTTTCTTTGGAGCCAGTCTTCTTATAAAACCCCAGTCTTTGATTTTTGATTTGAGAGCCTCCCTCTTCTGTCTCCTTAGAAGAGTGGTCCATGTACTACTTCATCAGGCATAGCTGGGCCTCTGGCTCTGGCTTCCTTGATGGCAGATTCTCCAGAATCTTGGGCCCTTTTTTTTTTTTTTTTTTTTTTTTTTTAGACCTAGTTCTACCTGGTAGTCAAGAACCCCGTGTCCCCTGCATCGGCAGGCGGACTCTCAACCACTGCGCCACCAGGGAAGCCCAGGAGACCTTCTTAAGAAAGTGAATATCCAGAGATTCCTGCCCAGTTTAATACTGTTGATGGTGTAAGGGAGTAGTCAAACCATTCTCAGAAGACACTTCGTACCCAGTTCTGATAATTTGTCTGTTGCTGGCAGTCTGTCTTAGAGCCAGCCAGCCAGGGCACTTTGAGCAAGACCTTTCTTAAAGTGGGTCCTTTTTTTTTTTTTTTTTTTTTGAAACGGGACCTTTCTGACCAAGTGGTTCACAGACTAGACCTTTCTTGTCCTCCTGGTAGATTTGACTCAAGACTGTAGGGCTCAGGCAATGAGCCCATGCATCAGATCCTTCAGAACTTTGGTGAAAGTCTCCTGGGCTAGTAGGGTTTCTGTCTGAAAGAGTGGAATCATGTTTCCAGTGAGACAGTTTAATGACCTCACCCTTTTTAAATTTCTCATCTGCCAATTGTGTGTTGTAGATGGTTTTCAGACGCAGATGGCTGGATACAGCTTCTGCTCTTACAGACTCAGAACCTTATCCATTTGTATCAGAGCTTGGATGCTAGTGCTAGTGGTGATGTCACCACTACCTGCTTGGGAGATAATGAAACCAATCTTGAATGCTGTTTTTACTAGGTGTGCTGAGAGAGGAGAAATAGCCTGGGTCTTGGGTTCAAAGATAAGCAGCTTATGATAGGCAGGTTCTCAAATTTCACATCCAGCTATACCGTTGTCCTTTTAAGTATCATCTGCACCCAGCTGGGATTCAGGGCAGACCATCTGGGCTACCTCAGGGTCCCCACGCATGCACTGGGCTCAGTTGACTTTGATGGAATGTCCTCTGCTGGCCTCACATCCACAGCATGTTGGCGTGGAACTTAAGTTCTGCTTGTTCTGAGGTTTCACTTCCATTTGTTTCATTGGCGCAGAATGGACCTCTTAGCTGGCCACCGAAAGGTAATTTCTTCACTGGTATTCAGAACCTTTCTTCACACTGTTTTTTACAGGACCCATGACTGATTAGCCTACGTCTTCTATTGTAGAAGGAGTTAGGAGTAAAAAGATCTTTGTGGTAAATAAAAATTTCAAGGTGAACTTGAAACCAAAGATACTGTTACTTACAGAAAAGGGCACACTCAGTAAACTCAAATGTAAAATAATTTTTTATTAACGTTTATGGTAAATTTATATTTACACAAATACTGTTTAGAATGGTTCATAAAAATGATAAGGGAAATGCACATACAATACAAAAATTTTATAATTGCTATACTTCTGTTTGGGGACTGGGAAATGTATTTTTACATTGTTAATAGCCAGTCATTTTTGTATTTAATAATTTTAAATCCTGAGTCTTTTATATCTCTCTGTGTCAAATTTTGTAGTCTTCTTTTTAAATAAACCCACTTTATTGTTCACACCTTTGTAGTTGTTTAATTATTATAAAAACATGGTGTTTAAATGAAAGCTTTCTCCAGAGTTCTAGGAGTTGGCTCTACAGCCTTGGTAAGAATACTGGACTTTGGATCTGCCTGGGTGTGGGGCATGGGTAGAAAAGAAACACGTCCAACTCCTACCCATGGGCTGTCCCTCTTTTTGGAAAGTTGGAATACACGTTGAAACAACGTTTTTAGGGAGCCCTGTGTGAAGAGTTACAAAGAAATGGGCTTCCCTGGTGGCGCAGTGGTTGAGAGTCCGCCTGCCGATGCAGGGGACACGGGTTTGTGCCCCGGTCCGGGAAGATCCCACATGCCGCAGAGCGGCTGGGCCCGTGAGCCATGGCCGCTGAGCCCGTGCGTCCGGAGCTTGTGCTCCACAACGGGAGAGGCCACAACAGTGAGAGGCCCACGTACTGAAAAAAAAAAAAGAGTTACAAAGGAATGTTACAGACTAAATATGCCTTTAAATACTCCCAAAGAAGCAAATTTGGACTCGATCACATTTCTCAGTGTGGCCAACAATCCTAAAAACAAAATAGGTACATTCTCTTTCAAGCTGTTCAACGATTGGGAAAGTGTGAAGCAAAACTGAGGTGGTTCTGGTAAAGCTACAACTATTTGTGTAGTTTGCAAAATTCCTGCCTCCAGACGGACAGAATAACAAAGTCTTTATAGTCGTCAAGAACTCACTGGAATTTGTACATTCTTCAGAGTTTTGTGTTTTGTTTTGATAAAGAGCGTGATTTTATCAATGTGCAATCAACCGCAAGGAGCAGAAACCTAATTAAGTAAGTGGGTCTTAAACAGGAAAATTTCACAAGAAGTCTGGGTAGGGCAGTTCCACAACTGGTAAATTCAGTGGCTCACAAGGGTCCCAGGCTCTTTCCATGTTTTTCTGCCCATCCACCTTTTTTTTTTTTTTTTTTTAATTTATTATTTATTTTGGCCATGCTGGGTCTTAGTTGTGGCATGTGGGGTCTAGTTCCCTGACTGGGGATCAAACCCAGGCCCCCTGCATTGGCAGCACGGAGTCTTTCCCCTGGGCCACCAGGGAAGTCCTTGCCCATCCACCTTCTGCTGTGAGAGTTTCTGTCTTCAGGATTGACCCTTTATGGTTTTGCAAGATGGTGGCAACATCTCCAGGCATCATCTGCTTGTACAACAATGTCCAAAGGCCAGAAGAGGTTGTTGATTCTTCCATGTCCTTTCAAGCTGTTCCTTTTTCACAGAAGCCCCTTGGTGGACTTCACCTACTTATCTTACTAGGAGATATTAAATGCCTGTTTTCAAATCAGTTTTTAACATGGAGACTACAATTGCTGTGATTGGCTTAAAGTAATCCAGATTCCTCCCCTTAGGTTGTGAATATCCTTTGAAGCCTATAGCCTTCTGATACCTGAACAAAATTGGTTCTGTTAGCAAGAGAAAGCGTCATGGGTTAGGGATCAACAGTGTCTGTCACAAGCATGTAAAGGATTGTGACCTAGCTAGGAGAAATAAAATTTCCAGTTTAAGAAATTCCTACAACCTTGTAAGTCAACTGTACTTCAATTAAAATTAAAAGCAAAAAATTTCTGTAGGTCTGACTACCCCAAAACAATTTAAAATAGAAAAACTTGTTTTATTTCTTACACTAAATTATAATTCTACAAATAATGTATCTACCATAGAAAATGGGTTTAACAAAAGTGGGAAGTATTGTTCTTTCCCTGATATCTGCATTTAGCTACTTTAAAAATTTTTGAAATATGTCAAGCACTGGAAGTACAGAGGATAATGCTTGTTGTAGATACCACCCAGCTTTAGTGGATCATAACATTTTGCCGTATTTGCTTTAAGGGCCCTTGTTTAAAGAGAAAATGAAGTTATACTTTTAAAGTACCACCACCTCTAATCTTATTCTCTTTCCTTTTCCAAAGGTAAAACACTGTCCTGAATTTGGTGGATATCTTTCCTGTTTTTCTTGTCTGACATATATATAGATGTATCCATAAACAATGTACAGCATGGTATAGTTTGCTTTTTTTAGTCAGTAGTATTTTTAAAAATTTATTTATTATTTTTGGCTGCGTTGGGTCTTTGTTGCTGTGCGCAGGCTTTCTCTAGTTGTGGTGAACAGGGGCTACTCTTCGTTGTGGTGTGCAGGCTTCTCATTGCGGTGGCTTCTCATTGCAGAGCACGGGCTCTAGGCGCTCAGGTTTCAGTAGTTGTGGCACACAGACTCAGCAGTTGGGGCTCGTGGGCTCTAGAGCACAGGCTCAGTAGTTGTGGTGCACGGCCTTAGTTCCGCAGCACGTGGGATCTTCCCAGACCAGGGCTCGAATCCATGTCCCCTGCATTGGCAGGCAG